TCCTAGAGGAACGAGTTCAGATGTGTCTCTGCTTCATCACACCAGACTCCAAAAATGGCCATATTAGCAAGAGTTTGTGGAGCTCAACTACTTGGTAAGGAAGTAATTTTTCCTTTAGACTCAGGTGTGCAGAACCAGAGGCACAAAGAAAACTTGAAAGACCGGACCAGAGTTTTATCCATCCAGCCATTATCCAGCTCACCAGGCCAACACAGAGACGGACCGGACAAACAACCATGCTCACACTCACACCTGAGGACAATTTAAAGACCAATTAACCTAACAGTCATGTGTTGGGGCTGTGGGAGGAAGATGGAGAACCCACACATGTAGAAGGAGAACAAGTAAACTCCAGGCAGAATGATCCCAGACAGGGATTCAAACCCAGGACCTTCTTATTGCAAGGCAACCGTCCTATCAGCTCCACCATTGGTTAATCCTAACTCTGAATCAACAAATTATCTACAAACATGTCAGTTGCAATTTGGTTCCAAAATGTGCAAGTTGGAGACATTTCCAGAAAAGTCTCAAATCTTTCAGGAAATGGGTTTCTGCAGATGAGGACAGTCCTGGTATAGCAGAACTCTTGTTGTTGATAAGCAGGAAGACATTTGGATCATGAATGTACAGAGAGGAAATGCATACATTAAAGTCATGTACAAATACAACATTGACTGTAGTTCAGTATTTAACTCCATTTTTTCCTAACCGCTCATATTCTTATGTCCTCAGTAATTAGCAGCATTGCTCTTCTCTGCCTCTCCACTGTAGGTTCCGTTGCATTGTGTATCCTCTCCAGCCCAAGCTGACTCTGCTCGTTGCCAAGGTAGCCATCGTGTCCATCTGGGTGTTAGCCGTGGCTATTATGTGTCCCGCGGCAATAGCACTGACTGTGGAGAAAGTCCCTTTCCATTACATGGTCTACAATGATGACTTCAATCACACGCTGCCCCTTTACACCTGCTACGAAAACTTTGCCAATCCCCACATGAGAAAGGTCTACACGGCGGTTCTGTTCGCCCACATCTACCTGGTTCCCCTCACTGTCATCACGCTGATGTACGTGAGCATCGGCGTCAAACTCTGCTCTTCCGCAGTCGCGAACCGAGAGCCCCAGTTGGGCAACATCACGGTCCAGGCGGGAGGCAGAAGACACGCTCAGCAAGTGCTATCCCAAAAAAAGATCAAGGTCATAAAGATGCTCATCGTGGTGGCGTTGCTGTTCATGCTGTCCTGGTTGCCCCTCTGGACCCTCATGATGATGGCGGACTATGGTGGACTGGACAGGAACCAGCTGGACCTCCTCACCAGCTACATCTTCCCCTTCGCCCACTGGTTGGCCTTCTCCAACTCTAGCGTCAATCCCATTGTCTACGGCTACTACAATAAGAACTTCAAGAGGGGCTTTCAGGCTGTGTGCAAGACAAGGCCCTTCTGCTGTGTCGCCCGGCTGCAGTGCAGAATGCCTCGATGGGGACAGAGAGGAAGATCTGCGCAAGCGCTGTCGGAGGGGACCGAACTGAGGGACGGCAGCAACAACCACAGCAACTTTCTGTTGGGACTAAGAAACCGAGTCCACAATGACAACAAACTGAGCGAAACGCCAGAAATAAACAGGAGCTCGAGAATGGGGTGTACGGTGGTCCACAAAGGCAGAAGTCTCTCTGATCAGGGGATAGAAATGGTAGCCATACATAAGAAAAGCAGTAATGACGAAGGCTCTGAGAAGGTCAGCTCACTAGCGGTTTCAGTGTATCAGGCATGGGATAACTGAAGAATACCTGGAACAAAATATGAACTGAACAAAGCCATACAAAGGTGCATTGGTAAAGACAACCGCATTATTAGAAGCATTCTCACTCAAAGCCCATAAAACCTGGATCGAGTCTAAACATTCCAGCTAAAGCTGCAGTATGTAACTTTTAAAAAAATATGCTTTTTACATATTTGTTAAAAGTTTAAGACAGATCTCTGTGGTAACTACAGAAATACAACGCTCAATCAGAAACAACCAATCAGAGCCAGGAGGAGGGTCTGATGGTGCGTTCACACCAAATTCGTTTTGAGCGTCAGGCACGTCTGGTTGACATTTAAAGTCTATGTGGAGGCGAGTCGAGGGCCTTTGCAGCGCGTTTCGAACATCTAGCGATTTGAACCGTTTTGACCCGTCCAACACGTACGACGCTTCACATAGACTTTGAATGTAAACCAGACACGCCTGATGCTCAAAACACGTTGGGCGCGAATGCACTAAAAGTACACACGCGTCGAACTTGAAGCGTCAGGCGGGTTTGGTGTGAACGCACCATTAGTCATTAGTACTGTCTATCAGTTTCAACAAATATTTTTGTAAAAGTTACAGCTTTAAGTCGTTTCAGCTGAATATTACTGCATCTTTGCATGCATGGTGAAAATAAGGGGTAAAATACTCCATTGTAAGCATATACCTGTAGAAGAATGTAATCTTGAATAAAACCCAGATCAAACTATGATCAAACTAGATGTATGAGGAATCAACAAGGCGACTGGTCGGAGCTGAAATCATCAACTACTTCAAATGGAAACACAAACTAAACATACATTTATGTAGTTCTGAGATATTCTTAGCTGCCATATTGTCAAGTACAATATGGCTACGGCTAAGTACATATTGTCAAGTTTCAGCTTGGCTACGAAGAGCCTTCAAGAAGAACCGCAGAACCTTTGAGGTTCTTGAACAAAAGTAATTTTAAAGAAAATGTGCACATATTAAACATTACACAACCTGTCCCCCAGGCTGCTTAATGGACACAAAATGACTAATAAAAGGATTAAAGGTGACCTTAAGATGCACTGAAGTCGGTGCAAAAAGAGCCTCATCGCTCTGCCACTATCCTTTGTATCAAATAATTCTCCCACTCCATTCATGTATATTAAAGATCGGCATCAGTCTGACCTGTACATTATGAAAACGGAGCATTTGCGTTCTCATTTCAGCTGCCATGCCGTCCTTTCTTCTCTGACAGCTGCGCTACAGCCATTTCATTTACCGCTCTTTTATTTTTAACTCGTATGTTAAGCTCAGCTTGTTCTCTGTCGTGAAACTATGTCAGATACTGTAACATAAAACAGCTAGCATTCACTGAAAAATGTGCCTTTAAAGAAAATAAAACTACCTCTGTTTGTAACAAAAGTCAGTGAAAACTCTGCTTTCATACACAATCAAGAACTCAAAAAAGAGAAAAAACCTGTTAGTCGACTACCTCAACTCACACCAGGGTAATTTGTATATAAACTCAATCACCAAGCTTATTTAGCACCACCAACTTAAATTTTTGAAGTAATAATAAAAAAAAATATTTCCGTTGAAAATACTCAGAAAATCCTTGCTATTCATAAGAACTTTACATAATGTAATGTTACCTAAGCCTCCACTGTAACTCTGAGCTGCTCTGACTTAAACAAAGCTTCAGTCCCAACATAAACTTAATCTCATTTAAAATAAAAAACATTGCTTTAGATTTAATAAATACCGTTCTATTGTTACTGCTGTCCTTTCTGAAGTTTTCTACAAGTAATTCAGTGCTAAACTGGAGTAAGTGATCTAAAGTATGAATACATGTAAGAATCTGTGCCACGAACGTTGACATGTTGTTGCAGTCTGGATGCAGTGACTGCCTTTAGAGCCAGCTGCTCTCAGAGTTCACCCTTTCAGTTGAATAAGTTAGCTAATATTTATTTGACCACTGGGGGGGCAGTGGTCACAGCTTGTGCGTGTGTAGAGTATCGTACTTTAATCCCTAGTCAGGGGTGTCCAAAGTCGGTCCTCGAGGGCCGGCATCCTGCATGTTTTAGTTCTCTCCCTGGTGGTGGTAACAACCTCCTCAGCAAGTCAGTGTTCTGCTTAGGCCTTCTAATGAGCCATCATTTGATGCAGGTGTATAAAACCAGGGAGAGAACTGAAACGTGCAGGATGCCGGCCCTCGAGGACCAACCAACACCCCTGCCCTGGATGGTCGAAAGACAGAAAGAAGGAAAGAAACAAGTCAAGAAAGAAAGAAAAACAAAGAAATTAAGAAAGAACGTAATGTCATCAGTCTGTAACAGATTACTGTAAATTTCACACCGCACCAAAACTCCCACAAAATACTAAACAGTGGTGGATCATCAGCAGCTGCAATTCCATTGACCAGATAATTGTGCGATTTGACATTACGAAAATAAATTAGCTTAATCGAAACACAACAATTATGAGAAAACTAATTTTTCAATTGCAGATTTTGCCACTAAGATGGGTTTTCTTTGGCCGTATCAAAATGTGTTTATTTTGCAAAATAAACAATGATTTGCGGTTTCTTGACAAAGTCATAACATAGCAGAGGTGAAATCTATTGACTGAAAGAAACATTTTGAGTGATTTAACTATGCCGTGGTCTGTTTGTGGAAAACCAAACCCATACAGATTGTTAGAGCCAGCTCCGGTTTGGCACTGGAACTGCATTGGTGATGGGAAAAATATGTTAAAATGAAGGAGAATAAAGATTCAGTGACATTGTTCTTAATTTGACTTTTCATCCTACTGTTTTGCGTGAGAATCAGCAGAGAGCAGAGAAAAGGATTAAGTTGAACCCTATTTTGCCCAAGTATGGAAAAAGAAATCTCTCTAAACTAGCTGTCATATAAACTTTGTAAAGATTTAAGGTGCGAGAACTAAAAATTTGTCAAAAGAAACCAAAGTAAAAAAAAAATGAACCAAGTATTGCAGTAAGAGAGTGAAAATATGAGCTGAAGCCAACATAAAGTTCAATTTATAAGACATTTAAACAATACAGTTTACCAGGTGTTACCTAATTTAATGTTATTGCTTGTTCTAATGCAAATGTGTTCTGATGCATGAATAAACTAACTGTACATTTGGATAATATGCAAATTGCTGTTTAAACTTCATATTGATTAATGATGAATAACTCGAGCTTATTCATGTGTAACTTTATTACACTAAACATACTAAAAGGCAGTCTAAACTGATAATCATGATTACTTGCTGCTTAAGAATATTTTTCTTAGAACCTGGATGGATTTAGACTGTATTTATGTTTCAGTTGACAAATTTGCACCAAGATAGCTCTTGCGGTGAAGATGTAAACAACCACAGCCCGGCTCACCAGGAAACTCACACTTTCACAGCAGAATTTACAAGAGCCAAAAATAAATAAATAAAAATAAAAAAAATCCTCCCAGTTAACTGACAGGGCTGCTTGAAGTCATGGTAAACGGTTGGAACGGTGTCACATGTTTTGGTTTTGGGCTGAATTCCAGCTGAACAAGAACTCTAAAGCGTAAAACTTCTCCATGGAGGTTGTCAGCTTCTATTTTACTTCAGTTCGCTGAACGCAGCTTTCAAGAAGTCGAGGTTGGTTCCCTTGATGACGGCGGCAGAACATCCAGGCTGTCTGAAACTGCTCAGCTCAGACTGGAAGCATCGCTGCAGACTTGCAGAGGAATTTCTCAGCTGTGCACAAAGTCTTAGCAGACAAAATGGATCAGCACAGTGTGGATGTACCAGCACTATAGACAATCGACATGACATTTGGGTAAATCCAATATACGCTGCTCACAAAATGTTAGAAATGTTCTGCTTTCGGGTGAAATTTGAATCTAAGATTCACAACAACCTTTACAGGTGACCTTAACGTGACCTTCTCTAAACAATTGATGTCCAATGTCCAACTGTTCAACGTTTCTCTACCTTTTGCACAACTTGATGTTCTTTAACAAGAAGCCGAACAACAAAATTCACAATAGGTGTTTGATCCATTGATCAACCAATACATTTCCCAGTTCGATCAGAATTGGTATTTAAAGAGTCCTCCTTATCATACTATTCACATTTTAACATCTTAAGACCAACCCGTCACCTAACAACTGGTCAACAGTATTCAAAACTGTTTACATCTGTGTGCTAGATGACCTGCATGGGTACTAGACCACCAGGCACAGCCATCATCAACTTGCATGGGCCAGAGAGTTGACACTGGCCTCAGTATTGCTCTCTGATGAAAGTCGATTTATGTTGAGCAGAAATTATGGGCGCCAATGATGCTGGACTTGTCAATGAGAGTGCTAAGGATCAGCCACTGTTTTTGGCAGATGAGCCTTTGGTGATGGTGTTGGTACAAAGTGGGCAGGTGTGTCTAGTCAATGCAGAACTACCCCACATTCTGTCAAAGAAACAGTGACAAGCCTGTACTATCTGAATAGCACTATAAATCTGGTCATCGTACCCCCGCATGAACAACACAGGCCTAATTTTCTCTTCATGGACAATAACGCTCCAGCTCATTGAGGTTACATCATTAGGGACGCCTATGGGGGACTGGAGTACCTCAAATTAAGCGGTCTGCACTTTCTCAGACCTGAGTCATCATGTAGACGATCATAACTCTCTACCCCAGAACCTCAATGACTTGAAGGCCATGCTTCAAGAAGAGTGGGATGCCATGCCTGAACAGACAATAAGTCAACTTGTGAACATCATGAGACATCGCTGCCAATCTGGAAATAATGCTCCAGGGAATCAAATCCATAATATTTTTTGTTGTGGCAAAAAATATTATGCCACATAATATTTTTTATGTGACGCATTTATGGCACAAATGCATCTCCATTTATGCCACACTTTTATAACATCATAGGAACATGGGTTTTTTATGGTTTCTATGCATTTTACCCCAAAGTCAGGTATCCCTAACTTTTTGTGAGTAGTATATGTTTGCATTAGCACAGGCAGAGTGAAAATAGACATTAAATTAGGACATCAACATGCCCATAAAGCTGAGCGCAGTAGAAGTAAGAAAGCCTTCAGTCAATGTGATGAATGGAAAACTACTGACCTCAACTCACCTTTAGATAGAGTTCCTCTTATCATCATGTGAACCCCCAGCCTTTCTCACAGAACCCAACATTAACTATGCACCAAAGTGGTTTTCCCAAATCGTGACACAGGGTTAAACCCGTTGCCAGTATCTATAAGGGTGAACAGCCAAAAGGCCTGTGTGGTGTTAAGAAGTTAGTCATGTGTTGATGTGGCTCAGTGTTGGTTAGCCATAAACTTAAAGCCAGATTCTTAATTACAAATGCTTTGGTAATCTGGCTGTGCCTTGTTGTGTTCCCAAAATGAACAGGGATAAAGTGCATTGAAAAAACAAAACAAAACACAAAACTGAACAAATGTGAAGCATGATGACATTACCTTTATTGCAAACTCTGAGCAGATGTGATTACTGTAAAAATTGTATGTTTCTAGTTCTATGTTTTTATCATAAAGATGATTGTAAAAGTGAATAAGGTGGATAAGCACAATATGTAAAAGTTCTGAGTGGAGAAATGTCAACCATTAAGCCTTATTGCTTTTTTCCCCCAAATAGTGCAAAGAGACAAATGTGAGGTGTTCGAAACAGACGACTGGAACGTAATGTAACAGACTAGAAGTCACATTAGAGAGTTATCGTTTAAAGGCATGATTGTGATTATTTGTTGTGGTTATGCTCTTTTATTTTTTCTCTTAATCATTTATTTATTTATTATATTTAATTTTTTTATATATTTTTTTTAATTTTTGGGAGATAGACTAAGCATAAATTAGACTCACTTATTCATATAAAATGGCAAAGCAGCGATTTGACCATTAGCTCTGGAAAACTGAAGTAAAAGTTTACACAATTTTAGTTTATCCAATAAATTAACAGGTCAGGAACAAATCAGACTTTTAACATCCATCTAATATGTCGATCCTCTCAAAGGAACATTTGTCACAAGAACTCTGCCGCTGTACAGTTGGCATTTCTTGGATGAAGTAAGCTAACATGCAAGAAAGCAGTTTATGTTTATGCGTTTCTATGTGATTTAGGAGGGAAAGACCAGTGCAGTGTGTGACACACGATGTGAAATATCAGCAAAATTAGCTCCCTGTTCCTCACGATGCTGCTTGTTCACTAACGTTCTTTAATGAAACCTATTCAGGGGTGGAAGAGTAAAGAGGAATGACTATTAAAAAGACTGCAAAATTTTTTTGATTTTTAGTTGTGAAAAAAAAAAAAAACATGATTCTTTTCTGTTTCCCTCGACAATAATGTCAATTCTTTGATTTTTGGTTCTGTCCTGTACAATTCCAGTGAGACACATCGAAGTCGTCATGTGACAAAATGTGGAAAAGTCGTAGGGAAGGGAAAACATTTGCAAGTCTCAGTAATGTTGAGATCAAAATGGTGATTTTGTTGGTTCGCAGTGGTGCACAGTTTGTTGTCGAATGGTGACTAAATGTGGTGTTAATATTTCCAG